TACCGTTGTGAAATCTTTTTTTGTTTTGATTAAAGTTCTATTACCTGAGGACTTCTGTTGGCAGCTTATGTAATATTAACTGTTCCCGTTTAATCATGGCCTCATGAATACCAACTAGAATAGGGACAGGTTAAGGTGAGGCAGGAAGCAGGGGACTGACGGATACTAATGTGAACTGGGTTTGTAGTTTTCCAAACTGGAGACCCGGGACTCCCTGGGTGGGGTGGGGAGATAAAGGGATCCCCAGGCACATGCAAATCAGGACTCCAGAGGCTGCTGCCCCTTGGTTTTTACAAGTGACCAACCATGGGGATTAAAAATTTTAAAAAGCCGGCAAACTCATTTGGTAGTACAAAATCATAACCTGACTTTTCATTCTGTTAGTGATGCCGTGTCAGGGGAGCTCCGTGTCCCATAAATCAATCATGGGGATAAATGTGGCAATTTGTTAATGAAAATACAAACGGAATTAGTTCAGAAGCTGCCGTGGGTGTCAGTCATGCATGTTGTTTGACTGGGCCGTTAGCACGGTATTTGGTGTTAGTGGGGTGTCACTCTGTGTCACTTGCACTTGTTAGGGGAACGCAAGCATTCGCCGGCAATTAAGCTCATGATTTTTGAGTTTTACTTTGCGAAGTCTTTGTCAAGGTGGAATATGCCTGGAATCGTGGGCTTTGATTGCCAGATACTGTGGCAACCTCAGGGTGCTTTTAGGGGAAAAAAAAAAAAAAAAAAGAATGACCCTTCTCTCGCAGTCCCTTAATAATAATGTAGTGACAGGCATGCACTGAGCTCCCCCACTCCCCGGTTAACCATGTGATGATCATTATTCTTTTAATGTTTTACATTAATCTCTATGTTTTCTATTATGTCTCTCGATGCCACAATCAGGGTATTTTTGATATCTTGTATTACCCTAATCGCCAAGAAGTATGCTCCAAACTGATTAATTCTAGAATGATTAAAACATCCTATGCAATTCATTTATTGTTGCTGCAGTTAACTGAATATTTGATGATTTAAAGGTACCCTCATTATTTCCTAAGATATGTATTTATCGCCAGGCAGATGATCGGTGCGTGGTCTCTCTGTGGCTACATGGGGTGGCAGCCTGCACTGTCACGTGCAGAGAGGGTAGGCACTTGTGAGGGCTCTCAGTCAACTCCCCACCTGCCCGCCATGTGTGCCTGCCTTCCCTGGCCCTCAGAGGACCACATCTGTGCCCAGCCCGAGAGGGTCGTCTGGGGCCGGGCGGGAGAGAACAGGTTCCCCTGTGCGGCGTGCAGCCTGCTCTCTGCTCTAGGAGGAGGGGGCGGAGAGGGGGATGCAAAGGACGCCGCAGCTCTGAGTGGCTAACTTGCGCTTTGTGGACTGTCTGAATGCTCAAGAGTGGATTGAAAGAGAGGAGAAGGTGGCTCGGGAATTAAGCAGCAGCTTGGCAACTCGGCGGGCAGCAGTTCTAATCCCCGTGTCACCACTAGTTCTCTTAGTCTCCTTTCCCACCTGTCCGAGTGACTCCAGAAGTACTGCGAAAGGGGCGTGTGTGGGGGGGTGGGGGGGAGTGCACTGGGCAAAATTCTGGGGCTAAGCCCCCGCCTCGGTGCAGCTGTCTTCAGTGTGCAGAGTGACCCCACCCCCCCCCGGCGTGCAGCTCCTCAGGGGGCTCAGAGACTGAAGTGGCCTCAGGTGGCTCTGCCACTTCTCGGCCATGTCAGATCCTTGGCCTCTCACTCCCATGTGGAGTGAGGACTACAGTGGGGACCTCGGCGGCTGGGAGCTTCTGTCCGTGAACCCGGTAGGTACCCTCTCTCCACCACCTAATCAGACCTCCTGTTCCCTATTGTCTGTTTCCCGTGTAAATGTTTGTCTTCCCAATTTGCGTGGAGTCTTGAAGCCAGAAATTATGTTGTCTTCAGTGTCTTCAAACCCTCCCCCTTGGCACCATCCTGAGCACAGTGTGAGCTCAATCAGGATTTGTTGTCTAAAGAAATAAATGGGAGAACTGATGAATAGGCGGTCGGGCAGTGAATGCGATCCTATTACCCTTGTCACGACTACCTTACAATGTATGTCCCAGTGGGTCTCTAATTATTTGTTTTGCCGTCCCATCTAGACATTTAACTCCGAGAGAAAGAGGCCAAGTCTCATAGCTGTTTGTATCACCCACCCCCCACGCCTAACACTATTCTAGGCTCAGAGGAAATGCTCCACTGCTTAATTCAAAAGCACTCGCAGGGGGAGCAGCATTTGCCGCTCAAATGTAGTTGTCTTGTGGTGGAAAGAGCTGTGGGGCAGGGCTAGATGAGTTTGCAGGACTAGTGACTCCATGCCAATGCTGGATTCCGGGATTTTCTTAAAAAGAAAAACAATCTGAACACTCGGTGTGGATGCATACTTATTTGACTGTCCTTGTCTGCAGTCCCTTCCGATCCTGAGTGCTCCCGACCCCCAAGCAGTCATTATTAGATTTGCCGCAAAGCCCCAGAGTTGACAACTCTTTCTATTTTGACAGCAGTTCCCCCATAAGGAAATGGATATTTATAATACCAGGTGTAGGGATGACATTTGCAGTTGGCGAGAGTGAGTCGGGTCTTTCCTGGAAAAGACGAGAAGACTCGACTTAGTAATAAAGCAGTAAGGAGAACAACAGGACAAGGGGTAATAACCTGGCTCATTGTGTGGGGCTTTGCAGGGTACAAAGCATATTCACATTATTTATTTCATTTGCTGCTCGCAGAAACCCTGTGAGATTTGAAAGAAGCGGGTATTATTATGATGGCGATTTTATTTTATTCTACTTTATTTTACAGCTGGGAAAACTGGAACTCACAGGGGTAAAGTTACCAAGTCCTGTCCCCAAGTGGTAGGGCCGGAACTCCCACCCAGCTCCTTATAGACCCAGAGGCAATCGTTCTTGCCGTGTCTGCATATTGCTGATATGTTTTTCTCTGTGGTTGAAAAATTGACATTATGTTTTTGTGTGGGAACAAAAAGAGCAAAGACCTTTTTCTGAGAGCGGGACATACATTTTTTAGCCCAGGCCGCCCACATGGATAGAATGCAACAATGATATTGAAGATTTAATTCTGCTGTAATCATTTTGACCTTTGGCAAAGGTTATTTGTTAGAAGTTCAAGGATTGTCTTAGAAAATACAGTTGCTGGAGCATTGAACAATGGGATGAGATTGTATCTGCTATTAAGACTAATCCGTTGAGTTCTGTAATCCTGAACTATGTTAGACCAGCATCTCCCAGTGTGTGTTCTGCAAACACTCATTCTGTGTGGAATGGTGGCATATGTCGATTGGGAAAAGAAAATCACAAAAACTAAAAAGCCAAGAATTTAGTGGTCAAGAGAGTTGGCAACGTGTTGCGTTAAACAGTTAGATAGGTGTCTCGGAGCCTTTAATTCACATCATGGATTTCCACGTCGGGGGAGGAGGTGGATTGCAGTATTTCCCATGCTTATTTGGACATGGAAAGATTCCTAGTACCTGTGGGATGGGCTCAGGTAGCACTTAACACAGTTTCAGTCCTACATTAACTATGTGATTCCTCATATCTACCTTCCTCTTGAGCCTACAAACTCCATGAGGGAGGAAGCTGTGTCTCCTTTTGCTTTTCCTTGTATCTGTGCCTAGCAGAAGGCTGGCCCTCAAAAAATTTGTTGAATGAATGAATGTGCTGTCCTGGGCCAAACCCTACCCATAGTTGCCTACTGGGACCCTGCATTTAAGGTCCTCTGGAAAGTTGTGCCTGGCCCTCTTTTGCAGCCTTTCCTTCTCCTGTTCTTTCTACCCAGTACTAGAATATTATTGTGCTGGGAAGGGTGACTGTATAATTTATCATCCAAACTGGGACATTTGTGAGGGGGAAAGGAGACATGCAGGTTTGCGGGAAACTGGGGCCGTATTCTATTTTCCATTTCCCCAAATAGAGTTATGCTCAGCCTTCAGTCTATCGGAGGAACTGGGGGCTTATCACCTAACTGCCCCCTCGAGAGGTCTGGACGTACAGCCTCTGTGGCCGTACTGTCTTTGCAGGACTGACCTTTCGCCTTCTGAGGCAGTGAATTAAAGAGACCAAATGCCCTCCTCGCCAGAACTGGAGGGAAGCAGAAGTGACAGTTCGCAGTCCTGGAGAGGGGGAAGGTGTGAAGGCGAGAGGGATGTTTGGGGGATGCCTGTAGCTCACACAGGTGACGTCACGCCCGGCAGACCCTTCTCCGGGTGGTTGTCCCATGCCCAGGCCCCTCGCCGGCCACTGCCTTCGAGCTGGTGCCTCGCTTTGGTGTCTGGCTTCTGGCTTTCACTGATGATAGAGCCCCTGGAGGATAGAGCTTTGTGCTGGACCTGCAGTGAGTCCTCGGGACATTTCTGCAAGTTGCTTGAATTTTGATTGATTAGGAAGATGTCACACTGGGAAAGACGGCTCATGGGACTCACTTTGTATGTTTGTGAGATGCTCTCTAAGTGCAAAGGCATGCCTGCAATTTACACAGTTTGAGCCTTGGTGTTTTGGATAAGAATTGCAGGCATCTGGTTAGACTCCTAAGTTTAAAAAGAACTTAATTCAATCATAGAAGTATGTCCTATTGGCCTCGTCTTTAAAAAAAAATCTGTGATTATGAATAATATATTAAACCCTGGCAGAGGGTCAAATGGGCCTTAAAGATGAGGAAGTCGAGCTCCTTCTTTGGATAGATGAGCAAAGTAAAGCCTGGGTGATGGAAGGGCAGCCCAATGTCCCACAGAAAATCAGTGACAGAACGTGTCACTCTCTCTCTGCACCTTGCACTGTGGTCTTACTGCTTCATTAAAGCGATGAAAATTGGCCACTAGCAGATACTTTTGGCTTTGTACTTAGCAGGGGAAAACTCTACATTGATAGCTGTATTTCCTTTCTTTACAATTTTTCCTACCATGTAAAGCATTATACAATAAACTTCTCTGAGAATAGCTAAATGGTGCTTAATTTTTGTTTGTTTATTTTATTTTAGGTAAGCCTTCCCAGTGATCCAAGCTGTGTTGAAGAAATCTTGCGGGTGAGTTTAAACCTTTCTTTCTGTGCCTTTTAATAACGAAGCAATCTATCTGCTTAAGCTCTTTCAAGTAATTACCGTGCTGTTTCTGGGAGTATCCTGATGGGGAATCCTCACTTCCACTTCAAGACCCTTCTGCTTACACCTCCCGGCTCATTTCTCACCTGTCCTCTCCCCATCCCCAGCCAAGCTAGTCTTGTCATCTCCCTAAGCTTCTGTTTCATCCTTGTGCCTTTCTGGGTCTTTCTTTTGAGACTCCCCACGTTCTTCAGGAAACTCTCCCTCTTTAAGCAGCCTACCCTAAATCTTGGGCTTTCTGCTCTCTGGGATCTCGAGTCTCAACTTCACTGCCACTTCCTGCGCCAACGTGGGTGGAACAGGGTTGTGGGGGTTGTGGCCTATGACGAGGGGGCAAGATGTGGGAGGGTGGCAAGGAGGAGAGACTTGAGAGTGAAGGCAAGTTGTAGGACCTGTTACTAATGGGAGGGAATGTGTGCATATGAATGGCATGGAGGCAGCATGAAGTTGCCGAAGGTGGCAGTGACCTCTCCCAAAGTAGATGCTTAAACTCAAAGGCAACACCAGAGCCCAGCCGGAAAAATGGGTCTCCTGTCTCTGGCTGTTCGCGTCATAAGGCAAGGCAATGTGGTACCTGAAGAACGGAAGTCGTGGCACTGAGTCCCAGGGCCAGCTCTGCTGTTTGTCACTCTGTGGTTTGGACACAGAACTCCAGCTTTCTGAATCTCCATTGTTATCTGAAACAGGATAATAATACCTGTCCTAATTCCCTTAGAAGCTGCCAAGAGGTATAGATGCTCATTATTATGATAAATGATGATCAGCGTGGCCATGAGAAAAGCACGCAGGCTTGCCGCCCAGGGAAGAGAACAATCTGTGTACCATTGAGAAGTCTGCACCTCTCCCCCACTTACCAAAGTGAGGAACTCACCCCCACCTCTGCCTGAGACTCCCCGTGGTGCATGCCTTCCAGGCAGCCCAGGGCTCCAAGGGAATCTGTGACAGTGCAGCCCAAGGAATAATAAAGAGGAGAGAGCTGTTTATTGTCAAGTTGACCTGATCACCGATTTCACCTGTTGGGGATATGCATGCCCCGTTTTCAGCCCACGAGTGTTGTTATTGGCTATTAAAGAGATGAGTCCTATTACTCTGATCAGAGACGAGACTATCTGAATTGGGGATACACTGGCTACTTTTTTAAAAAGATTTATTTGTTTATTTATTTAGAGAACATGAGAGGGGGGAGGCGCAGAGGAAGAGGGAGAATCTCAAGCAGACTCACGCCGAGCAAGGAGCCTGACACGGGGCTCGATCTCACGACCCTGAGAGCAAGACCTGAGCTAAAACCAAGAGTCAGGTACCCAACCGACTGAGTCACCCAGGTGCCCCTATACGGGCTACTTTTGTAAGAGCTCAGGAACCCCTATGTCATCCCTCCTGGGGTCCAAGGGTTGGGGTGGAGGGTGGGCGGCTGCACCAGGAGACTGCAGGTGTCTGCTCCTTCCATTGGGCGGAGATGGGTCAGATCAACCAGAGACACCAAATCCTTGCTAGTGTGTTGGCTGCCTTCCTTAAAGAAAGGTAACATGGCAAGAAACCTCTTCCTCTCTTCCAAATGAAGTCAGCGGTCTTTTCTTAATTCCCAAAGGAATGTGGGACCCGTTTCAGAATCACCACCTAATCGGTCACAATTGGAATCTCTTCTTACGAGTGGCCTGGCCCTGGGGGAGGGGAGCCGGGTGAGCACCTGGCAGAGGCTGGGGGCCCCAGTCCGCTGGAGGAGCCACTTAGAGAAACAACAGAATGTCACTTCAACATGGAAAGAAAAGAAGCAGGTTGCCTTAATGAGCTCATAAAAGATAGCACCCTTTGAGGAAGTAACAAAAGTCCTTCTGTTCTTGCAAGAGAATCTAGGGAAACGTCTTTTTTTTTGAAGGGCTATAGATTGTATAGAATTCTGGGGGTTTTTTCAACAGCACCATTAATGAGTGGGCTTTCCTTTATTGAAGACTGACATGTTTCATTTCCCGTGCTTAGAATAAAGATAAGCATCCTGAAGTTTGTGTCCTAAATTTTATGAGTAATTCTTAAATTTGTATAGCCCACATTGTGTGGCACAACAGGTTCGTGGTCGTGTTTGTTCGAGGGCTGTGGAGCCCAGCGGATGGGATGGCTCCACAGCCCTCTGTGTGGCCGTGCTCTCCATCTGCCTCTTCCTGGTGGGGGCGTGACCTTTTCCCTTCCTCTTTCTCCCCCCCTCTCTCTGACACCCTCAGCGCTTTTCAGACAAGCCAAGAGCAGGGGCGTATTCTCCCTCACTGAGGTGTAGCCGTGTGGAAGAAGGGGCTCTAGCCCCGCGGTAGAAAGCCTTAGGTCCATCACTCTCTAGCTGTGTGGCTTCTTGATCTCTTCATGTAGCAAACGTGAATAACTCACACAATAACTCACCCTCCACCCCACGACCCACCTGCAATGAGAGAATCTTTAAAGTGTGCACACAGTTTGCATGGGAAACATGGAGATCTCAGTCTGTTTGGTCTCTCAACTTCCCCACCTCACCGATCTCCCCCCTTTTGGCCCTCCACAGCCCAGCAGGCTAAGCATGCAAACCCACTTCATCTCACATGGGGACAGACTTCTTTTATTAACCAACCAACCAACACGACTGGCCTCTCCCCTCTCTCAGCCCCTCAGTCCCCAGGCAATGGAAATACTTTTCCCTAATGCATTTTATTTTTGCCTCCTTTTCCAAAACACCGTTCCAATTCAAACCAGTTAGCTTTCTTTGAAAGCTCCTCTCACCATTTCTGTGATCGTGGCCTCAGCTCTCTTTCAGACTTCTCTTTCTTTGTGCTCCTGCTTCTCATACCGTCCTGTAGCCCACCTCCTCTGGTCTTCCAGGGCTGACTTGACCTGATAGGGTGACCTTATTTTTCTGTGGCACATGACTGCCTTTGAAAACACTTGAACCCCATTATCTTATTTTGGTAATAGAAAACATGGTGTAGTCCCTAATTATTTCAGGAAGTTGAGGCCCAGAGGGGTTATAAATGACCTGCAGCGAGAGTGAACCTAGGATACAGCAGAAGCAGAAATGGAACTTGGTCTGCGTTTTACACTACGCCAAACTGTCCACCGCCCTCTCACAGACCTCTGGATTAAAAAAAAAAAAAAAAAAATTGCTCCAGATGCTGGCTGACTTAGTCCTAGCCACTTTAAGAATCCCACCAAATCAACGGAATTTGAGCAGGTGTCAGGAATTAATTCTTTCTTCCTACCATTCTGAATATGTTCAAATGTCACCTCAAATAATAAAATAATAACAATGACACATTACTGCCACTGATAAAAAAATAACAGCAATGTGCCACTTCCGGGCTTGAGCACTTTAGCATACTACGTCACGTCCCTCTCACGACAATCCTAAAACTCTGTGTCATGAGTCCCATGGTGTAAAACGCGCTACCCATTCTGCTCCTGTTGGTGCACTTGAATCCATTCTGACTTCACAAGCTCCAGTCTCCTTTATGATTAACATTGTGATGGCATCAGCCACCAATCCCTTTCAGCTGCCGTTGCTTCGATGACTCCTACAAATCCAATTATGCCAAAATAATTTCAAGTAGTTTTTCAAAGAGGCCAGAAACCACCAGCCTATAGCACATCTCCTCCAGCTGCCCTCCTGCTCCAGAACAAGCTGCCTAGCTCCACTCGTCTTCGCTACTTGTCAAGTACGTTGTTGCCTAGTCTACATTTTACACATCAGAGACATAAAGGCAACGTTTACATCGGCCCAGCCTGCGTACCTGCTTCGGTCAGCAAGCACGCCATATTCTCTTTAGATTCAAGCTGCCCTCGAGTGCAAACAGAAATGAAAACTAACAATAACTCCGGTGGCGTTTTGCAGTTACAATTCATCTATCAGATGAGGGACTCTGAAGCTGCTCATATGTAATAATATGGGCCACAGCAGCTTCTCTCCTGAGCTCCACGGGGTTTGATGGGTCCTCGAGTAATCACTTCTGGAAGAGTTAAGCCAAGGAGAGCTGCGTGCACTAAATACTACTAGCCGAGGATGGATGTTCAGTGATTATTTGCTTTGCGGTGGTATGATTTATTTGTTCCTTGCAAGAATTTACTTAAAAATATCAACAAACTATCAATTAAGTCCTATCTTGAGTCAAAAATGCAGATAGAGCGCTTCTCTTAGCCTTGACGCCGAACAGATTGTGTTTCCTAGCAAAGTACCTTCAGTAGTTGATAATTTCATAGTCTAACATCTGTAAGGGTAATTCACTGTTTATGCGGAATGCTGAATTTGCTAGCTAAGATTTAGGGAACTCGATTTGATAAACTCTACCATCTTACAGCTCTCTCCCCGCCATATGGATCAGGCTGGTAAACATCGACATGGGCACCTCTTTCAGATTATGGCATGATCTGTGTTTACAGCATTCTAAATTATGGCAATTCCATGTATTAGGTCTGTATTTAAGTGTACAGGTTTAGCATGGAGAGATCTTACCAAATAATTACAGGACGACCGTGCACAGTGCTTGCTATTTTTTACTTTGAAAAGGGGAAACAAATGAAGAAACTCATCTTAAGAATGAGAAAGAAATGGATTGGGGAACAAAATTGGTCAATTACATCTGAAAGGAAATTTGATTATATTATCATAACTATGCACCATAATCAAGCACCTTTCAGTAGAATCTCTTTGATAAATTTAACCAATAATTAGGCAATTGATTTTATATCCTGTCAAATTAATGTATAAATAATGTTCAAATTGGAATCATGCAAACGATTTTCTGTAGAGCAGTCTTAAATACTAGTCCTTCCAGAATGTTTCAAAAAGCATCTATCTTATTCTGGTGTGGACTTTTAAAATTATAGTTTCTTGAAATAGTAATGTAGAGTTCCATCCAAGAAAGACAACAATTGCTAAATATAATTTAGACTATAATTAATGTTAACATTGG